ATTATGCAGAAGATAAGTGTATGTACAGAGTGAAAGCCTCGCACTTATATGAAACAAATGCTATCTTGCCAAAATTGCTTCATAATTCAAGATAAGACAAAACTATTCGGAAAGTTAATGTTTCAGACTCGAAACACTTCTTACAAAACAAGAATCATTACTTTCAATGAGCCTGCAATATCATGTTAATGCGCAAAAAACGCATTGATGGAGGAAGCTCATTAATTGCCAAGAACACTGGCCTTAAATTTATTCCTGATCACTGATTCCGCCAGTATTGAAAATTAATGACAAATTATTTTCACTATCTAATAAATTTCTTTTGCTCTGTTGGTCTTTACATATAACTGCATTTAAAATGTCTTCGTCTTCTCTTTCAAGCAGGTCCTTTATTTGACTTATCGATACACTTGTGAAGAAACTTTTTTCTGCTTTTATAACACCGCTTGAAAACGTTTTATGTTATTACATGAAGGCCCTCTAAAAAAAATTTAACACATTTGGAACCACCACTTGCCGGCGGAGAGCAGCAAATGGCACCAAAGGCTATAAATGAGTCTTTTGGTACATATTAAAAATTCCAGAAATTATTCATTTATTTATTCAGTCTTACAAATTACAATTACAGAAAGTATAAAAAAAATGTTGTAAAAAGTGAAAAGAACGGCATCTTACCCCCCAAACATAATTGATTTTATATATAAAAAATTTTTTTAAAAAGTAAAATTTTGTTTTTCTAGCATATTTTTTTTAGAAAAGTAATAACTTTTCATATAGAATCATTGTAAAAACTGAAAATATCATGATATTATCGTTATATTGTGGGAGAAAATTGTGATATATCGCGATACGAAATCTTTGGCGATACCCATCTATAGATTTAACACTTATCAATAAAGGGAGAGAAAAATAACTGTACTAGTAATAAAAACTTCCGATATTTTATCAATAATTTTTCTTAATGTGTGATTTTTTTGGCTACATTTAAGCAGTTCCTTCTCTTCCATTAATAATTCGTGCACACTAATCTCGATCGCGGGCAAAATTATATTTATTAACTGGAACTTTGGATTTTAGTTGCCAGGTATTGGCATTTAAGATATTTATGTTAAAAGATCACGAAGTTCAACTTTAATACAATTTAATTAAATTTCTTAAGTCAATGTTATGATTGTTAAACCCCCCGCTTGAAAAGTGGGAGGGTATATAGTAATCGGGATTTCGTCCGTCCGTCCGTCCGTCTGTTACGCTTTATCTCTTATCCGCAACTCCTCTTATACTACTGAGTGAAATTTAATGAAACTTTCACAGAATCTTTATTACATATTGCCATTGTGCACCTCCTATTTTACTTTTTTATTCGACACGTATTTTAGGTTTCCCATAGCAAAACATGCACATTGCTAATATATGTTTACCTATGACGTCACGTATAGAAGCTTCTGGATAACATTTGATAGGACGAGTTATTCCTCTTTACACATTACCGTAAAACAATATATAGCAACACATGGACATTATGGGAGGCGGGGATATCATTTAGTGAGCTCATTGCTCACAGTACCTCTAGTTAAAATAGGCACGCTATGAGAAAGGAAAAATAGGTTCAATTGTTACCTGCCAATTTAGTAAAAATTCAATTATATTCAAGTTTGATTCCCTTTACTTTTTTGCAATTTAAAAAAAAATTGTACCTACATATTTAGTAAATTGAATTAACTGGTCAACCATTAAATAACAATATACAAATAAATCATTCAAATTGCATTATATGTACAGTTTCCATTTGGGGAGGATTGAATTCTCCAACAGGAGGGGGGGGGGGGTGAAATCCTTATATCTGTTCAGATTTTAAAAAGTATTAAATTAATACAAAAATCTTCCAATAAAATAAATAAGACTAAAATAAAAAATTTTCAAAATATCAGTCCGCATTACAGATTTATGTACATAACTTTTATCGATGTCCACCAGCTTTGGAACAACCCAAATGTTTGATAACTGGCGAGAAAAATCTGGGATGTTATACAAGTTGATTCTTTTAATTCATCCCAAGATTTCGACAAAGCCATTGTCTTCAAACTTTTCTCTTCCCATATTGACTGTGCAATTACATGCAGGTATGAAATACAAAGTAAACAACTTATGGGAACCAAATTCCCTTCTCCTTTCTTTTTAATTTAAGACACAACCAAGTTTCCTTTTTGTTAAGTCTGGATTTCAAGGGCCTGAGGGGAAAAATAGGGGAGAGAACATAACAGTGGATTTTTAACATCCACGAAGCATAGTAAAAGTGTAATAATACAAAAATAATACAATTACTCTTAATCTTAATTAACAAAATATCTTAAAATGATCAACATGTGTTATGCTTGAATTATCTGAATTACGCCGATATACTTATACAAAGAAAGTAATTCTTACATCTTCAAGGAATATATTGGTGATTTTCTTCCTTAAAGAATCGGTGTAACTGGGATGCTCATCAGGCACGTAGTCATAAGCAGAAACATCACTGCGCTCTTCTGGAACTGGTTCATCAGTATTGATCTCTGGCACTGGTTTGGTAGAAATACTGGGCTCGTAAGCATCATACTGCAATTATTTGTACATGTTATTTACTGATTGAGTTGAAGTATACAGGCATTCTCTCTTTGGCTCACTTAAGCTGAAAGCTCTAGTGAGCTTTTCTGATCACATTTGGTCTGCTGTGCAGATGTTTAAATTGTTTACATTTTCCCACAGAACACAAATTATTAAAAAATGTTGAAACTTATGTTTACCCTCCATGAGACAGTATAAATTCTAAGCATGACCCCTGGGATAAAATGGGCTACAGTGACCTCGATCTGCTGTACCTTCCATGTGACCTTAATCTTTGTTCCGATCTGTTTCATCCTGCAGGAGATATTGACCCTTGATGACCTATGTTGGACCATGCAGCTGCAGATGACCTTGATCTCTGGCCAGATCTTTTGGATTTTGCTGGTGATCTTGATCTTTGTTCAGATGTGTTTGACCTTGATGGTGAAACTGCTCTTTGATTGGATCTGTGATCTTCGATTAACTCCGTCAGATCAATCCAAGAAGAAGGGATGGCCAATTCTTCTTCCTGGTGTCCTTCTTTCCAAACCGCCCTCGACCATTTTTATGGCGTCGGGCTTGCCCGATCGTCATCTAGCGATCAGTCAGGTCTACGCGACCGCACGTGTCAGTGGATGCATCCGCGATAGAAAATAGCAACAGCTGTAAACCGATTTCTTTTAAAACGTTCACACTGAATAATAGCTTGAATATAAAATTAAATCAATTGTATCTTCAATTAATACTACTACAAAACAACGATATTATGTTTAATTTTTACGCAAGAAAAACGTTATGGTTGTTGCGGATGAATTTCTACAGAGAGGGTGCATCGAATGACATGAATCACATTCTGGGACCGATTACTGTAATACAAAGAATCTTAAATACGGTAAAATAATTACAAAATAAACACGAACACAACAAGACTATAAAGATTGAATTTCTTAATCTTAGCTTTACTTTTACGATCTTCAATCCAATTTTATCCGAACAACCGACGATATTGACCAGTAATGCCAGTATTACTGTATTTATCCATTTCCTCCATTTGTTTACCGCGCCCTATCGTAAGTCGATCGTACTTGTAACATTAGAGTCATGGTTGTAGTTAAGATGCAATCACTGTACAAAAGAACAACGCTCTGACAATGGCAATTAATTAAAATAATTTATGAAACCCTTCATATGTCTTCGATTGACTGAAAAGAAATTAGATTGATACAGAGGATGGACATTTCTGACGATGTCTGGACTGAGTTGCTCAAAACACTGGTTAAATTTGTCCAGTGGATAAGTTAGCCATTGGTTAAATTCAATATCTACTGGGTAACTAACCACTGGTCAAATATTTGTTGCTCAAAATAAAATTAGCCTCTGGTTAGCTAACCACTGGTCAAGTGATTTAACCAGTGGTTAGTATCCCACAATGCATTACATTTGTCCGTCTGTCACCACAAAAAAAACATGGCTTCCAACAGTGTCAACAAAAAAAGAAGTGAGAATTTTTCAGCTGATGAAACTTTATTTTTGGTGGAACAGGTGGAAAAACATATTGAGCTTATAAAATCGAAACATACAAACCAAGTAACAAATGTCAAAAAGGCTGCTGCCTGGCGTGAGATTACGGAAGCGGTAAATTCAAGGGGTGGGATTGTGAGAACAGTCGATCAAATCAAGGAGAAGTATAGAAAGGCTTGTTCCAAAGCGAAGTGGGAAATCGTCAGCCAGAAAACACATCGTATGAAGACGGGTGGTGGTCCGGCTCCATCCCCAGTTGATGCCATATCACAGAAAATTCTGGACGTGTTCCAAGACGCCCCAAATTTCGTTGGCATTGAAGGAGGGGTCGAAGTTGGAGGGCTTGTTTTTGAAGGTACTTTTCATCTTTCTGAAATTAAATTCAAATAAAACAATAAGCAGGTCTACACAATGTTTACATTCCACAACGAGGAAATTCGAAATACCACAGCCCGTCTGCGCACACTGAAAATTCCACAGAATTTATTCTTTCTCATTGATACAATTTAGTAGGAGTTAAAAGAATAAGTTTTACCTCATGTTCTCGTGTTTGAGCTTAGTGCATTCCTGTCAAAACATCCATTACATTTATACATCTCTCGCAGACGTTCTGAGTCAGACGCGGTTTTTTTTTCACAAACTGCAAGGTGAAGGCCAATTAATGTGTGCATAACCACTTCGCCCATGTAGTGTTTCGGTCCAAACAAAAAAAAAAAAAGATTAGTACACAATGCAAAGCTTTTTATATTTTTTGGTTTAATGCATGTGCTTTTTTTTTCTTAAAAGAAATTCTTTTATTTATTAGGAGCTTTTTGGATCTATATTAAAGCATATTTCTACAAAAAATAATTTTTTTTGTACAGAGGTGCCATTGCCAGCAACAACTTCAAGTACACATGAGGATGCTGATTGTTCAAGTAACTATTATTTTTATGCATATTACAATAAATACATAACAAAATATTTAAATTTGTAAGACTTTTATGTACTCAAATTATTTTTCATTCAATCAATAATTTTTTAAATAATAAATGTTAATCAAATCATCATCAACTGACATCATCAAAATATGTATTTCCATCATACAATGTTGGTGTGAGTACATTTTATATTAAAATACATGTACTTTATGACTTTTAATCAAAATGATTTTGAAAATTATTTAAAAAAAAAGAAGAAATTTGTTCACGAACTAAACAGTATTAAAAATTATGTTATTTCTTTTATTGTATCAACTGATAATTTAAAATTAATTATTAATAATTATGATGCACGAATAAATAAATTACACATATATAAATGTTGGTCCATATATCCACAGGTGCATGTCAATAAAAATGATTTAAATTACTATACAGATCCTGTTGGAGATGAAGCCCTAGTAACTGCAGCAAACAACTTGGAGAGTATGCATTTTAAATAATGATTAGTTACCATTAATATGAATTATAAGATGAAATAAATTCATGGACTTTGAATGGAAAAAAAAATATTCTGTACCATATGATAACAAAAATATTAACCTTTATTGTACACCTCTAAATTTTTTTTACAGAGGAAGCAACACAGACAATTGTAGAACTCCCTGATAATTTGACAGGTAAGCTTTCATTTGATTTATAAAAAAACATAGTAGGTATAATTCATTTTACAGAGCATCATTTATGCATGTATCATGTAACTTTTGAATGTATAATATTTGCCAGAATAAATAAACATAACCCAAGTTAACAAACATTTGCAAAATTAATGTTTAAAAATTGTAAACTAAATGTGTACAATGGCTCTATATCCATTTATGCATACATGTATAATTGTATTAAAGAAGTTTTAGCTCTATTTTTTTTAACTTTAAAACACATAATGTTTACCAGGAACAAGTGTCACATATGACCTGATGATATCAGAATCTGGGGCTAAGATTAAGAAAAAAGATGAAAAAGGTAAATTTAATATGCTTGAATTTTTAACACAATGTAATCAATAATCCTTGCAATGTTCAAACACACACACACACACCCTCACACACACACAGAGAGAGAGAGAGAGAGAGAGAGAGAGAGAGCATTCATGATTAAAAATCCTAGAATTATAACTATGAAAAAGATATTTATACCTCAGAACACTGAAAATTTTTCTTTTGAAATTTTGTGCAGAGAAAGGAAGAAAGAGGAAAAATGAAGAAAGTGTTGCTGAGCTGCAAAGACTGGTTCTGAAAGAAGATTTGCGAAGAATTCGAGAAGAAACAGAGCTGATCATACTACAGAAGGAAAAGGTTGCATTGGAGATTCTGAAACTTAAATTAGAAACATCATCTTTGCAAACTGAAAATGAAATGTAAATTAAAAGTAGTTATTGACAATGAATTGTCTGATGTTGTTATTCATGGGCTGGGCAGCTACTTCATCTAAGACATCAGCCTCATCTCTTTGGTCCTGAGTGTCATCACAGCCAGCATCATTGATTGTCTCTCTCCTGTCCTGAGCAATATTGTGTAAAACAGCACACGCCACAATTATTTTTGCTGCACGTTCTGGTTTACACTAAATTGAAAAGTTCAAAATTATATACTTTAATAATGTGAAGAGTTTCAGAAACATCTGTTATAATATGACTCAATTAAGACTGCATGCTTCTTCTTACATCGAATCACAAAAAATACATTGTATTTATGAATTGCAAATTTATTTTAAAAGTCTGCATATGAATTTGTAAATTATTTAAAATTACCTTGATTTCTCCATGCAAAGCCAAGAAGCGCCTTTTAAGCCATCCAAAACTTCGCTCAATAACTGTTCTAGTTTGTGCATGGGAATTATTATATCGCATCTGAGCCCTTGAATTGGAAAAGAGAATGTGTAATTAATTAACATTTACATTTAATTTTTGCCTCCCCCCCTCATATCATATTATTTGTTACACAAAAGCATTTAAAGTAAAAAAAAAAATTAAGGTATACCAATTAATGATTATAAAAGTATTTTTAAATGATAGAAAAATATACCCAAGTATTTAGTTCAATTTTACATGGATTCAGACTTTTGGTGGGCTTAAATTTAATAATTGCTTCATGTCTTAGGTTATAACTTTTCATCATTCATTTGAATATACATGCGCGGATCTAGAGTGGGATCGGGGGGGGGGGGGGGGGGGGTTCAGGACCCTACAAGATAAAAAAATGTATATACTAAAGGAAGAGAAAAGTTACATCGGACCCCCCTTGGAAAATGCGGCCCCCCCCCCCCCCCCTGGTTATCGTGAATATGTTTGAAATGAGTATGAAAAGTTAAAAATTTGAGGCAATAGCCCCCCCCCCACACACACTCACACACGAAATAGGTTTTTCACTTTTGGGCGAGTTAAGGTTTTTTTTTGGGGGGGGGGGATTTTTGGGAATTTTTTGTAACTGGATTTTTTTTTTGACTAGGGTGGGCCCCCCTGGAAAAAAATTCTGGATCCGCACCTGATATATCTATCCTTAGACATATATTCTTAAATTTATTTATTTGCTAAATTTACTAGCTCTAAAATAATAATGAGAACTTTATTGTGTTTTTATAATTTTTATTTTTAAAAAATCTATTATGTACCCTTTTCAGAGCTCTCTAGTATGGGAAGGTATTTAATTACTCAAAATTCTGTAAACATCATTTTCATGATGGGTGGAAACTGTAAACCATGTAAAATGTGTTATAAGTAGTTTGAAAATGTGTTCTTACTCTGATGTTGGACGTAGAAAAGGAGTCACAAGATATCTGCTACAAGCATAGCCACTGTCTCCAAGTAAAACACCGTCAATATCCAAGTCCCTGTGATGTGCTTCAAGGTAGGCCCCGATATTAGATTCTCGGAATATGAATGAATCGTGATTGGAGCCAGGCCATTTGGCAACAATGTTAGTGAATTTGCCTATAGGAGATTTTATTTTCAATATGTAAGGCATAAATTAAAGGGAAAGGAAAAATATAAATCGGACCCCTCACTCAAATTAACAACTTGATATGAAAACCACTGAAATCCGAATGTAGTCGAGTACAAACTTTAACTTATAAAATTAATTGAAACATCCTTTGGCATGCACTCTTTAATTGGTTTGGCAATATTGATGTTTGTGATCTACTGTAACATTCAAAGGACTATTTGTTTTTCTTTAAAGAATACTTGCCTTCATGATTGCATATAGCCTGGGTGTTGGTCGAGTGATACCCTTTACGGTTGACATAAGCAGCAGGTTCATGGTCAGATGGAGCAATAATTCTCACATGTGTGCCGTCCACAGCACCCACTACAGCAGGAAATCCAGCAATTGAATAAAAACCTTTCTTAATTATCACCTTCTCATTTGGGGATGGCCACTTAATAAACTGTGATGATATGTTCACTAGCGCCTGTGATACATCTCGAACACTTCTGGATACACTTGATTTATGAAAACCAAGTGTATCTCCTATGGTTTCCATATTATCCCCTGTAGCGTAATAACGCAGAGCCATTTCTACCTGACTGAGGGCTGAAAGGGAGTATGACCTCATGGTTGGGCGACATAACTCTGGTTCAATCAAGTCTGTTATGTACTGGACTGATTCGCGTGAAAACCTGTACCTTTGTTTATACTCAGATGCATCAAAATCATGATGAAAATGTCTAAAAACCCTCTGTTTCCTCTGTCGTCTGCCATAATTAACATCGAACAACAATCTAGAAGCCATGTTTATCCACTGGTTAAGAGACTTAACCCACCTCTGTGGAATGGCTAACTTTAGCCGATATTTAACCACTGGATAGCAAAGTTAACCAGTGGACAAATTTTGAGCAACAGAATTTAACCAATGGTTAAAAGTTAACCGCTGGATAAGAGATTTAACCAGTGGTTAACCTTAACCAGAGTTTTGAGCAACTCAATCCTGGTCAATTCGAACCCTGATTCATTCGGACCAGGACACAAGGCTATCAGACTCCATACTGTATTTGTGTTAAGACTTTTTTTTTTTTTTTTTTTTTTTTTAAATTTTATTAGTTTGTTACCGGAGTCACTCACTTGACCTATCTGCAGATCTTTTGAAATTGTTTTTCTTGTTCGACGCCATTGAAACCTTTCAGGCTTTTGATTTTTTACCCTACCATTTATAAACACATAAAAAAGTAATTTAAACTAGGGCTAATTGTAACGGGAACCGTTACAGATGTTCCCCAAACGCTCCCCAACTCCCTTTTGGTGCCTTACTCCCTGTAAGCTTCATTAAATAAGACGAACTCTATGCCTTTTAGACTATAACAATGTTTTCCAAAAGTATATTCAGTATATTCAAATTTATGCATTGCACGCATGTGCATTTGAATGCATGTGCGTAATGACCTTATCATCTTGTCTACACTATTTATATACTAGAAATTACAGCGTTTTATCCAAAAGTATTAAAAAATACGTTTTAATCTAGTGTATTTGTAATTTTACTCATTTCACGTGCACGCACGTGCGTGCATGTGCATGTCGACCATATTTTCTTGTAGGAGTCTGTTATGTATGTCTATGTTCTAAATCCCATCATGTTTGGTTGAAAAACGAGGAAGTTATTGCCATTTTAAGATTAAGCCAATCAGATTGCAGCGTACGTGTATGCGCATGTTTTCATGACAACTGTTATGTATCATATTGTAAGACATCCTAATGCATGATTATGTTTAAAATTTTAAAGCATTTCGTCAAAAATTAAAAAAAGACTTTGCGATTTTTGTTTCAGCGAATCACAGCAAAGCACACGTGCATGCCTGTGCATGACGGCCATACCTCCTTGTGGGAGTCCATTATGTTTGTCTATGTTCTAAATCCCATACTGTTTCGTTGAAAAACAAGGGAGTTATAGCCATTTAAAGTTTAAGCCAATCAGATTGCAGCGCACGTGCATGCGCGTGTTTACATGACAATTGTTATATATCATATTGTAGTACATCCTAAAGTATGCCTATATTTTAAATTTCATAGCATTTTGTCAAAAAACAGAAAAGATATTGAGATTTCTGTTTCAGCCAATCAGAGCGAAGCGCACGTGCATGCGCGTGAGTTTGTGCTAATTTGACAGTGTCACATTATCTACACTATGAATATATCCTTTATAAATGAGTTTTAAAATATTTCATCAAAAAATGTTAAAGTTATGGCTATATAAAGTATATCCGTCATTTCACTCAGTTCACGCGCCCGCACGTGCATGCGTATGCACGCAAAATAACCTTCGTGTTGCACACCTACACTACACACCTATTAACCCTAAAAAGGTTTTAGCTCAGTTGGGTGAACAGTTTCTGAGAACACTCGCGGATAAAAAAAGTACCGGAGAACAAAGAAGAAAAAAAAGAATAATAATAATAATAATAATAAGAAACCGAGTAAAAACAATATGTTCCCAAACTCCGTTTGGGGAACATAAAAACAAGAGACATCTTCACACATAATTAATTCCACCATGAAATGCTTTGTTTACATGCAAAATTCAATACTAAACTAGCAAGTTCAGCTATAAAATATTAAGTAAAATGGCATATGCACTTTACTTGATTGACATGCTGGTGCAAATCAAATAATACATTCACATATCTGATTGATTGTTAATTGTTTAACGTCACTCGAGAGAATTTTTATTAACATTAGTCTGATCATGCCAGAAATATGCAGTACTCGATCAGAAACCATGTCACACTAACACCTCCATCTTTCCATCTCATGGCATAAAGGGATCATAACATACGCCGTATCATCTGGTAGACAAGGTGATTTCCTCTCCAACTCATCATACTCGAGCACAGTTATGGAGTTGACCGATTTAAAACGCATTGCGCCTGGCTGCTCTGCGCATATTTTGTAATTTTAGAATATTTACCAAATTTAAAGAGCATGGCTTTTCAAACGGGTTTTCCAAAGAAGTTTGTGCATACACATCGCAGAGAAAACGTTTGTCTGCAAAAGTTCTGAAATTGCTCACCCGTTCTCAAAGTGTGCATTCTATCTGAGTGAAATATAACACGGTTGTTCCATCTGCCCTTTTTTACACACCTTTCACAACCATAGAATCCATGGAAAGATTTTGTACATTTCAAAAAGGATCTGGCTGGAGGATCACAAACAGATGCTGAAAACGATATTGAAAATTTTTCATCATTGTAGCTTACGCCATTTCTCTTAAGTTCTCTCAACTCATTTAAAAAATCTGACAAATAGGTCTCCAAAGAATCTGGTTTTGAAGTCTCACAAAACAATGCAACAAAAATTGGTTCAAATCCCTTAACACTGCAGAGTATGGACCAAAGCTGAATATTTGTGGACTTAAAAAATGATACGCCATCAATGTTAAAGCTGATGTGAAGCCCTAGTCCAGAAGACTGTGCAAAATGACAAGAATCAATTTTCAATAGACCTGTTTCTTTGGTATTCTATGGCCTCACCTCCTTAGAATATCCAGGAGGTGGTTTAGAGTCTCTCGGTTTAATTTGTGTTTACATTGCCATTTTCTCAATTCGCTATCATTGCTAACATTTTACTCTGCATTACATGTATTGATGTCCTCGTCATCACTCGATATTTCTAAAGAGTCAGAGGAAGATGTATCAGAGTCTTCATTATCTCCAAATTCTGAAGTTCCATTAGTATGTAAGGTTTTATCTGAATCTCTCAATATGATTTCCTCTTCTAAATTGTTTTGGAAAGGGTTTCAGAGCTGCCAACCCTTACAAGTTTGGCGTAAGGCGTACAAAATCAGCGTCTAAAATACGCTTTACGATTTCTCTCTATATTCTTCCGATTTCAGTTTTT